CATCAAGTTCTCCTGCTCTCCATCGGCTATCTACATACATCATTCATTTCTAGTTTCTATGTAATAACTCAGCAACCCATTTCTTTTTTCTCTTGAACCCACGTATTTATGTAAACATTAATAAATTTCATCCTTCTTTGAAGTTTCCAACCTATTTAATGTAGGTAGATGGCAGATTGAGAACACTCGAAATTGATTGCCAATATCAATTTTGCTCATATTGTTTTACTGGTCTCATTCAAATGTTAATTGGTTGCTTGAAATCGATTAACACTGTGCGCCTTTATCTTTTCTTCTGAAAACTTTTGACATGTATTGCAACGATATAAAAAATTTAAAAAATTTCGTAGATTCAACTGCTACCGAAATGTTGAAACATGTATTATTACTATGATCTAATCATATCAACATATTGCAATATTACGATTTATAGTCGTCTGCTGTCGTGAATTTCAGTCTCAAAATCAGGTGCTAGATAACGATGGAAACGCAGCTCAAACAAAATGTGCGTACGTGGCATTCTACCGCTAAAAACAAACAACAACCTGTCCACCTCAGGGTTGCAGTTTGCATTGATGCATTCCCTTTAATCATAAAGGAGGATGTTTGAAGAATATTACCATTGTAAGAAGAACACACAGTAACGAACACGTTCGTTTGCCGTGATTCATCTGCAGGCTAATACATCATACTTTATGTCAAAAAGTTCAGTAGGTTGAGGAAAGCATGGAAAAATGAGAAAAGAAGTAATCCACATTACAACTGCACGGCCGGATGTTGCTTATACCTTGGTCATCACACATGCGCATTGGTTTGAGTCATCCGGGGCGGTTGGGGGAAATCGTTGTCGTGTGTGATGTTGGCCAAGGAAGACCGAGTGTTCTTACGAATTGTTTTTAGGAGCATAGTGGGAGAGGGGATTATGTAAGCGGATTCCGATGGTTTCTGCTGTGGCCAGGATGCGACCCCTAAGCTCTTCAGATCGATGGCCGCAAACTAAGTAGATGGGTCAAAACGCCTCAGTCACATCAACCACGCGATTGGACTCCACTAAATGTGTACAGATTGAACTGTTGATGGTCTTAATCATTCCACGATTAGACGGGGCTGGGTGGTGCTCACTGACTCGTTCATATAAACGTCTGCTCGTGCGGCCAGTATACCTTACCTCACAGGAACAAGTGAAAAAGGTGAACACAGAAAGAGACTACAGAAGCGAGAAATTTATCTGTGTTGAAAGCGCCAAAGCGGCCTGTAGATGAATACACTGCGAAGCTTCACTGCGAGGAATGCTTTTCTCCCAGCTGTACTCAGTATACGTCACAATATAGGCAGTTGTGTAGCTCATAGAAGGTAGTAATCTATAAATCGGTTTCTTCCCGACTATAACGATCTTATTTGGCAACCGATGACGCCTCAAAATGTTGTCTACGAATGGTTCTGGGCATTCACCGTGAAGGACAATCTCTCGGATAAATCTTAGTTTGCCCTCATTGGTATCATCAGTACATATTCTCCGCGCTCTGCTAGCTAGGCAGTGAATGATGTTTGTGTTTCTTTCCAATGGTACATAGCTTTTAAAATTTACATACTGACTATAGTACGATGGCTTCCTGTGGACGGTGCGCTGGATAGATCCGTCTGATCGACGACTTAGAAGAACGTCCAGAAACGCGATCTGGTTATTCTTTTCATTCTCTAAAGCGAACTTTATTTTTGGATGTGCAGCGTCAAATGCTTTTAAAAGTATTGACAGATTCACACTGTCATCGATAAAACATAAAATTGTATCCACGTATCGTTTGTGTGATACACACCGATCGATTGTTCGTTTGAGGATGTTATTCTCCAGCTTAGCCATGAGGACACCTGCAAACGTGGATCCAGGGGAGACTCCATCACTTATCAAGTAGCCCTTTCACAAGCACTGATGATGTCAACTCGGTTGGTTATGGAACGTTTGCAAACAAACCGACAAGCTCGGCGAACAGGCAAAATGAAATAATATAACTAGGCTATTCATTAAAAAACAATAATTTTAACAAAATAGTTCCTTAATATCAATCTAGAGGAGGAGGTAGTTTCCCTAGTGAACATTTTATATAGAAAACTCATGAGTGATATGTCAAATGTGAGTTTCTCTATATTCATTATTTTTTATAACCGAAAATAGAGTAGGCTGAATATCAAAAATATTTCGACGAAAGATGCATATGAATTGTGGTCCCATAGAGTGTTACTTTGGATTGATTGGCGGAAAAGTCAGATTGTACACGGCTCAGTGATGCGGAAGGATATATATTGAGCTTCAACCGAACATTGTCACAAAAAGCCGAGTACGTAAGTCTCTGCAGTTCATCCTCACCGGTATTAGCCATTATACTCAGTATCCTGAGAATAAACTTAAGTAGACAAGCTTTAAGTTTATCAACTGAATTCTATTTTGGATAAACATCGGAATGTAACAACCGAAACTCCTAGTGATCCTAAAATCATTGTCTGGAACATCGTGACACAGCTTTTTAAACTGTAAAATATTTTCCATGCTCAAGCTACAATCGTCAGCCCCCCGGTATATAAAATATTCAGTGATAATAGCGAAAAAGCATGACGGACCAAAACAGTGCATCGCGACAGATTTTTGAAATGGCCTTTACTCAACATGTTAAACGTACCCAATCTTCCGAACTGCCTTGTGAACAAATGTTACCCAGATCCAAGTTGACCGTGTTTACGGTGGTTGTCCCGGTGTAGCTGTTTAAATTTGTTGAAAAACAACGCTCAGATTAGTACTTACTGCCTTCCTGTTCATGCCAGACAGAACGATTTCAGACTATCGAATATCCATTCAAAGTTCAAGCGATAATATGAGCTGAGGTTGGCAAAAAAGTGGTAGAACAATATGTTGAATTCCGGCAAACGGTCCTGACACTTTAACTTTAGTAACGTACGTTCTAAGCGAACACAGCTTTGGAGCTTTTGGAGCAGCCGTTATTGAAAAGTGTATCACCTGGCCTTATCGGAGTGCAAAACGGGTGATGCCATTCCTGTAGTGTTTCACTTGCATTCGGGCTAGACACCAGATCAGCTGTTAAGGTGAGTCGACTAATATCATTTGGTTTGCGCCCACAATACGGAGATTAGTGACAAGAAAGGCTACGCGACACCACGCTCAATCAAAGCAACAAAAACACTGCAAGCTAGAGCGATTTAATTCCGGAATCATTGTGCCGCATTTCGCCGCGGGTGCTACTGCAGAAACAAAAATAGTTTAAATATCACAAGGCATGACAATTGATCATGGTGTCAGATCGTATTTCCACTTACGTGGTGACCAGGGCAATCCCAGACTGATGTAGACTTCCTGTTGCTGGCATCACGGGGCTTTCAGCGCAATGGCCTCTGCAAATCTTAGCAGCCATTCATTCAGGGCTGTGTACACAACCGAAAACGAAGTCCCGCGATCGGCTTGTTGATCAGTCTAGGGCAGATGGCGAGCAATGAATGATGATGCAGGTGCTCTGTGATACAGGCTTGATGGACTGGCTCTGTATCTAGCGCTCAATCTAGACCGGTTACTGTCGGCTCATACCGGTATGTGCTCAGCCACTCGGGTCCGCAGCTGCCACTCTTTTCTGTCCACGTAACTAGCTCCCCACCCACAATGAGATTCATAGAGTACATGCGCTTTGGCGAACAGCGGAGCAGTGATTTTACCCATGGCTTTGGAATTTGGGTAGTTGTGATGCGAACGAGTGAGTTTGCAGCAAGATATGTGCGACCTATAGTTGCCACTAGCCGTCTTCGTCTGAGTTGCCCTACATCACATTTGAAAGGGAGTTAAATTATAACGTCACATTTTGGTACTATCATCTCCGACGGTTTGTGCTCGGCTTTTTCACTGTACAGCTGTATGAAATTTGCTGGGTAGACATTGAGCTTCAGAGCTTCCGTGAGCCGAATTAATTCACTTTCCACATTATCTTAAGTACACAGTCCACTAGCACGGTTAACCAGTGCACGCACGAGGCCTTGTACATACTGAATTAATGCGAAACTCCCAAACTCTATATATTGCGCGGTCCAGGTGGATTTCCGATACTCAGAAGAAGGACGTCTACATCAGTCTGACATTACCCTGTTAACCACGTAAGCGGAAGAGTGATCTGATACCATGTTAGATTGTCATGCCTTGTGATATTTAAACTATTTACGTTCCTTCAGTAAGCACCAGCTGAGATGAAGCGAAATAATTCCGGAATTAAATCTTGCTCGCTTGCAGTGTTGTGTTCTTCGTTTCAGTTATTTTCGCGAAATAATTGTTTCAAACGACTAAAGTCGAAAGACAGTTAATTTAACTGAATTCAGGTTCACGTCCTTTGCAGGAAAAAATCGTAGGGCTTTGCAAAAGTAGCCATGCAATGGCAAACCGATCAGTGGCTGATGAGATCCACTGATGATGACAAATTCACACTGAAGCGTACGTTGTTGATCTGTAATGAACTGGTGAAGCAAACCATCGAATTGTTTGCAGTTACCCACATTGAATTTTGCCCAAAACGCCAAACTTCAGTGAACGAACTAGAGGCTGTGTTCTACTATATATCAGTGTTTAGTAATGGCAAAATCCTACCGATGAATACTCGGAGCGAAAAGTAGGAATTTCAATATAAGAGGTCACGATTATTCCTGTGATTACTTTTCGACTCTCTTTTATGAACTGTTGTTTTATGAGCGAGGTTGCACGTAATTTCGACATCTTTATCAAACCTGTTACTACGCCAGAAGTATCTTCCTGAGATTGACTGCTGTAAATAGTAAGCGTGAGTTTTGACCTATCACCTCGTGGACCCTATTGGATGGTGTGATGCAAAATCACGGAGCATTTCCAAAAACGAAAAAGCTGTTTACGCATCTCTGCCATCTCAATTTGACCCAATCAGTGGTACCTTCGCATAAATACCTCGGAAAATCCGAAAAAATAATCTGCAAAGAAAAACAATCCAAAGCCATCTCTGTGCACACTGAGTGCACTAGTTTATCTAGAATGGAATGCCCGCACTTGCCTCTTCCATAAGTCCTTATTTGTTTAAATACTCCTGTTGAGTTCTGCCTATTAGCCACACACCTATAAATGTTCGACCAAGACGTTCGACCACATTGCAGTAAGCTATCGTTGGCGTGTCCCAGTAAAAAAAAATCAGGTCCTATTGGGCCACATGCGTTGAATTTTACCACGCATTAGTTCTTATACAGGTCATTCTCCAACTCATTGGTCGCAGAAAACCCCACCAAACTAGATTTTCAGATCATCGTTTATCCGATCAAATCATTCGTCGCCTTTTTGTATCAGGACCCGGGGAATAGCTGAAGGCGCTGCGGGGTGGTAATGTGGGTGAAAGGAAATCAGATAAGACGAATAGTGCACTACGTAGCGAAGGTTGCTTGTGGATCTGAAGCAGTTGCCGGGATATCTGATGAGTCCGTAGCACTGATGGACAAAAAGCGGCAAATCTC